CTCTCCACTGGGGAGCAGTTCAACCAGGGCAGGAAAAGGAAGGTCAGATAGGGGTAGGGTGGGAACAAAAGAGAGAGATGGAGAGAGATGAGGGGGGAGGGAGGGAGAGACTGAGACTTAAACAGAGGCCAAGAGAAACAGAGAGACAGAGACAGAAGGAGAGAAAGACAAACAGAAACAGAGATGGAGAAAGATACAAAGAGAAGGTGACACAGACACACAGATTGAGAAAGACAGAGACCCGCAAAGAGTCCAAGAGAAACTGAAAGAGACAGAATTGTGGGGGAGGCGGGGGGAGGGGGGGAGAAGGAGAGAAGCGGGCAGGGAGGGAAAAGGGGAGAGAAAAGGGAGGGGAGGAGAGGGAGAGAAAAGGGGAGAGATCGACAAGGAGAGGTTAGCTGGTCCCTGAGGGAGGAGGGGCTCCTAGAGATGGCAACTTGGGCTTCTGAAAAATCAGTTGGGACAGGAAGTAATGCTGCTCACTCCAGATAACCAAGCCCCACCTCAGCTGACAGATATCAGCTGCTCCTGCAACTCAAGTCTGGACCACACCAAGCACACTCGAGGCCTATCTTCTTGAGATAAGTTTGACCCATCCAATGACTACACTCTTCATGGGCAAATCTGTTACATCCAGGGCAACTGAGAAGCACCCATGGCAACTCAGGGCAACCCCAAGGTGGATCTCACAGATGCTGAGCTGCGCAGAAGACATGGGACCCCAGCCCAATTCCATTAACACGGAGTTCTAGCACAGGCAAGATTCACCTGCAGTGTCAATAAAGTCACCAGAGAGGTTTATACCTGGCTGGGGTGGGGGGTGTAGCTGGGAGGGCCACAGGGGGCTTCTGAATGAGGAAGAACAGAAGAAGGGCTGGAATGTTTTAGATCTTGATTCAGACGCGGGTGACATGCATGTGCGTAAAATTCCACGGAGTTTACACCAGTGCATGCATTCGGAGGATGTCTGTGCCACTCGTTTTTTAAAAGGAAGAAACAATCAGATCTGGGCAGGCTGGCATCTTTTTAGCTGGGGAATGAATGGTGGAGAATCCTTTCTTGTTCCATAAACTCGAGGAAGAAAATTCAAAGTCTTTTAGAGGTGAGGTCTGGAGAGATGACCAACTAAAACAGAAGGGGTATTTCCCCTCCAGCAGCAGGATGAAAAGCTGCCATCCCCGCCATACCAGTCCCAAAGCTTGAAGGGATTTCCAAAGATTGTTTAATTGATTTTTCTCCTATTTAGATGCAGATCATCGTGTCTGGGCTTAGGAATTCAGACACACGGCTTTGTGTCCACTCAGCCCCGTGAAGGCTCCGGTCTGAAACTCGCACAAAGCCAGACACACACGTCTTCAGAAACACGCTGTTTCTTTTTTGTCTGGGGCTCCAGGGAGCGGGTGTGACAAGCAAAGTCTCGGACATGCTCTCATCTGCAGGGTCCTGGGGACCCTGTCCCTCTCTCCCTCTTGCAAAGTGGGGTGAAAATTTAAAAAAGCAAACAAACAAACAAACAAAAAACAAAGGAAAGTGGCCAAAATGTTTGAGGTCTGGAGTAGGGGGGTGATAAAAAAGGTGGGGGCCCCAATTAGGGGTTGACCCATCAAAGTTTCAACTTGGATTTTTCTCAAAATTCAGGGCTCTGGAGTGGAAATCAGGCAATGCTTTAGATCAAGCAGCTAATGGGCTAAGATTAACTTGAGTTTGGCTCTAGTCTCTGCAGATCTGATTTATATAAGGAGAAAATGTTTCTCTTTCTCTCTGCCCATTGTTCCCCTGTCTATATCCAAATGCCCCATCTGACAAAGAAAATAGAAGGCTTGTTGGCTGACGCCCTGCTCAGGACAGTGGGAAAGACTCCCCGCCAATCTGCAACTTTCTCCTATCCCAGCTGCTAGGAGGCACCAGTGAGGGTCACTGCACCCCCTCTATATCCCCTGGTCCCCTTCCAACCTGGCTGGGGCATAGGGCAATTCTGAGGCAATGCCCTTCTGGTTTTCTGGCTTTGTGACTTCAGAGAACTCTCTCTAAGCTTCAGTTTCCTCATCCATAAAGTGGGTGCAGGAATAACTGCTCCTAACCAAGCAGGGCTGCTAGGAAAATTCAGAGTGCTGGCCTGTAGGAAACACTTGGCCCAGAGCAGCGCTCAACACATGTAACCTACAGCAGTTGCTATCTGGGAAGATGCACACATCAGACTGAAATTATTTCGCAGGAAGCTTCACAGGAGATGTTCTTGTCGTAGATTCCTTCCTTTCTTTGGTGCCAAGTATTTCCAGGGGGATCCCAACCCCAAGCCTGATTGCTACCCTCCGGATCCTAGTTACCTGGACTGCAATCCAGCTGGCATTCACGGTGTGCTCCCCAAAAGGGCCAAACCCTGAAAAAACAGTAAAAGCATCACGTCACTGCAGAGTGGCCCTTCCTAGCCTGCCCAGAGCCAGGCTGCTGCTCTACCTGGAAGAAAGGAGCAGGGAGCTGCAGGAGCTCCCTAGGGGCCTATCCCTAGTTCTGGGGCACACCCATTGGGTGCCTCAGAGCTTCCCCCTCCCTTACGAACACTTTTCTGCTCTTAAGAAGCTGTATGTCCTTTCTGTCCTCACCTCCGCCTGACTCTCATGCACAGCAAAAGGCCAGTGGCCTCCTTTTGCCCCAGCAAAGGCTGGCCTTGCTCCTTTTTCAACTTTTTCCAATGTCTTTGACCCAGCATATAATTATTTTATCACTGTCTTCCTATGGGGCCTCGCTCCATTCTAGAAATGCAAGGGGGCTGTAGGCGCTCCTTGAGTCACTGAATGGAGGATGGCATCCACTGAAAGGGATGCATGTGGTGTCTCTCAGGCCACGCTGTCCAGACACCATCCCATCTCTTTCCTCTCCACTTGCTCAAACTCCAGCCCCATTTACAAACCAAGACAGTCACTTGGAAATGTGCTAAGTGTTCTGCATGCACTGTGGTATTCAGCTTACTGCATCCCCTTTTAGGCATGGGTGTTTCCTGGCTTATTTTACAGAAGTGAGACTGAGGCCCAGAGAGGTGAAGCCAGCTGCCCAAGGTCACACAGTGAGAAGATGAAAGAGCTGGGATTCAAATCCAGACCCATGAATCCATAGCTTGCTTCCCTCTTCTCGTTACCCTGTCACCCTGTCTAAAAAACAAGCATCTCCAAGAGAGGCAGCCCTGGAATTGTGGGTGACTCCAGCTGGGCCAAGGGTCCCAAGTGGTGTCTAGCCCTGGGAGGGATGCTGTGCCCTAGAACATCAGGTTCCCCCTCCCCACACCAACTTGAGTCAGGACCTCTCCACTCCCTCCATCTTCTGCGTGGACTGAGTAGAAGTCCCAGCTCAGCCACTTACACAAACAGGGTGACCTCTGTGAGCCTCAGTTTCCCCTTCTGCAAAATGGAGATTGTTTACATTTTATGAGTTTATGCAAGGAAAATGCCCTGTTGGGTAGCTGCCTGCATAGTTAGCACTAGAGCAACAAATAACTAG